CGTGAGTGGTTCCCGGCCCGGGGTCTCCGGCTTGTTTGCACGGCTGCTTCCTGTGTCTCCCGAGGCTCCCTCTCCAGATGCCAGCTGTGCCCACAGTGGTTCTTTGTGGTCCATTTGAGGCTTTTGTGCAGAAAGGGGCCAGGGAAGGGGGGGGAAGGGGGCCTCCCACTTGTGTTGCACTGTTGGCTGGCAAATCCACGCACTCCTGGGGACCCTGGCTTCAACCCCTCGCCGTGGCCCCGGGCAGGCACTGAGCATTAGGGGGTGTGGAAAGTGAACGGACAAAGCGGGGGGTGAGAACACGGGGCTGGATCGTCAGCGGCCTTCCCCTGGATCTGTGTCGCTTCGTTGGCGGGCTGCAGGTGTCCATTCTGGTCTCCCCAGGCTCCTCCAGCTACTTTGCACGCTGTCCCCTTCTTGTTTCCAGTCCCTCACCTGACACCCGGTCGTGCCTGGCCTGGGCCCCATGGGCGCCGTTGTGCACGCTGGGGTCTGGAACCTGCCCGAGCGGGGTACCCTGGCACTTCTCTGTGTAGACGCGAAGCAGAGCTAAAATTAAAGAGCTTCCTGAGCCGGTGAGAATGAGGCAGTTCCTCCCGGGCCCCCGAAGGAAGCAGAAGTCATTACCTTTTGGGTCTTGTCTGCCGATCTTTGATCCCGTGTGCTGAGGTCTTCGGGCGTGAAGAATGCGTCTCTTCCTGTGAGGTTCCTGTCCCTGCCGGAGCCTCGTTCAGCTGGCGGTCACATCGAGCCAGGCGTGTGTGCCTGCGGCCCACTGGGTAGTGGCCAGTGGTGACGGAGATAGGACCAAACCCCACTAACGCCGGGCAGGCTATGGGCGTGACCCCCAAGGTAATGACTCCACCAACCATGTCTCGCTTAGGTCCTGCTCAGTGGAAGGTGAGCCCTTGAAGGCAACCAGGCACCCCACGCCCCGCCCCCAGCAAACAGAAGACATTCCTGGGTCCAGGCCAGGTGAAGGTGTTGGCCGTGGAGCCCAAGTCTGCAGGGTCCCATGCTTTGTGGGCGCCTCTGGGTCGAGATGTGCCAGGAAGGACTCCCAACATCCCCCCCCCCCACCCCCACGGGAGAATTTTTTTTGTGGACGGTGAAGGACCCAATCCTGTTGCAACAGGCTAGGGTGGGAATGAGACCGGTGACCAGAACCGATGGTTCATTTTCCTTGACCCTTTAGATGCTGGCGCGTGGCTCTGTCCAGAGGCTTTCTGTTGGGAGGGTCCTCTGATGGAGACGGGTGGCAGTGCCCCTCGGATCTCTCTGTGTGCCGTTCCGGGGACATTGACCCTTGGTGTTTGAGAGACGTTTCTAGTAGGATTGCAGTGGTGGAATGCAAAAGGTCTGGGCTCGCGGGCGCTGTAATGGGGACGGTGTGACGTGGGGACAGAGAAGGAAAGCATATGGCGTCAGGGCAAGAGCACTGGACTGGCCCCACTCTGCTGCCTCATTCGTCCTGTAACCCAAAGTTAAGTCACATTCCCTCGCGAGACCTCTGTACTCCCCTGTCAAGCGGAGACGGGCCCTTTCTGGCATCGCGCTCAGCAGACTGGCTCTTAGCAGCCACGTGGACCCAGGAACAGACATGTAAAGGGACGCCAGCTGTCCTTGGTGACAGGGGGTCCCAAATTGGCATCCCTTCCCTTCCCTTCCCTTCAGAAGAGGAGATGGGGGCCGGGGGCGGGGGCAGCCCTTTCACAGACGAGCGCATCAGCAAAGCCCGTGACAGTGGCATTTTCTAACAAAATAAACTTGCTTATTTGGTCTGTTTTCTGTAACTTTTGCTAAATACTTTATACATTTTTAATGTTAAAAAGCTGCGTCTCCTGCCAGCATTGCTCATCCTGGTATGAATGTGTTTACCCCACATTGTATATCCTTCCTTCCTCTGGCTGCCTAGATCAGTAAATAACATCGATGTACCATAATTTATAAGTAACACTGTTGAAACTCTGATCCCTATGGAGGCTGTAACTCGCCCTTTCCTCCGGTCCCCCGGCTGCCCCCCGCCCCGTCCCCCGTAATAGCATTTGTGTGTATTAATGCTAAAGAACTAATGTTTAAAGGTTTAAATTTTGAAGGCGTTTGCTATATATAATTGTTCTGCATTATTATAAAGCGTTTTCAGGAAGTTAAATGCTCTCTCTCTCTTTCTTCGGCCCCCCCCCCACTTTGGCTCTGTGTATACACTCGAGATGCTTACATTCATCCCATGTAAAATAAACTGTCCAGAGACACTGGGTCCTGCTGGGTGACCCTCCTTCCTGGAGCCCGCTGTCACCCTGTCCTTTGTATAAATGGGCTCAGCATAACCACAGGGCACCCAGGGGTGGTGATCATTTTATGCCTGATGTCTTAGCAGAGGGCACTAGGCACTGACCGCCCCCCCCCCCAGATGGGTACCACGATGCCAGACCCACGCACTTGGCCCTGCTCGGCCCCCTCCCCTGGTGCCTAACGTCCCTGTGGACAGAAGTGGCTCCTGGCTTTTGTTCTCCCCCCATCCATCCATCCATCCATCCATCCAACCATTCATCCATGCGGTAATTATCGAGCACGTACTCTATCCCAAACACCACTTTAGGTCATGGGGACGCATCGGCGAGTGAGCCCTGCCCTCGTGGACCTGGCTTTCCAGCAGGGAGAGGCAAACAAAGAAGGTCGACATAATAACGAATCTAGCATGGCTGTGGAAGGTGCTAGGTGTTCGGGAGAAAGAAGCACAGGGCAGGGTGTGAGGCTGACCGTGGGTACGTCGCAGTATTAAAGAGGGCAGTTGGGGCGGCGTCCTTGAGAAGGCGGCATTGGATCGAAGGCAAGGAGACCCGGGTGGTGGGGGAGGCAGGTGCGGGATGGTGGGCGGGGACAGCTTCTGTGGGGCTTTGCTGGTCCTTGAAGGACTCTGGCTTTCTCGCCGGGGAGGGGTTTCTGAGCCAAGGAGCACATGGCCTACTTCATGGCTGTGGGGCTGGCTTCACAGCCTGCTGGGGACAAGGGCAGAAGCAGGGACCAGACCGGTGACAGTGCCTGCAGGAGGTGGTATCGTGGAAGTCAGGGAAGTCGTCAGGGGCCGGATGTGCCAGCACACTGGGGTGGGGTGTGACAGGTGCTGACGGGACAGGACGGCCCCAGGACTCCAGTCCAAGCCACCGAAAGATGGACAGCCATTTAGTGCAACAGGGGAGCCGTGGGAGGGCCGCCCGGATACCCTCTCCACACCCCCTTTCCGGGCACCAGTGCAGATGGGGGTGCCGGCTCCGGTTCCAGGACGAGTGAGGGAAGGCCATCTTGTCCTTCGGCTCTGAGGAAGGGAAGGTAGGAGTTGGGGGTGGCATGAGTGTGGTGACCAGGCCCCCGTGAACGGCCAAGATAGAGCTCCTGGCTCCGGGAGGGATGGACCCGGCCTCTGGGAAGAGACCGCTTCTTTCCGTGGAGGCAAGGCCGGGATGGGGAGACACAAACGGAGGACCTCTAGTTGGGGGGGCCGGCCTCCTCCCCAGCACCCTCTGGGGTTCGAGGAGAGTTTATGGCCCCAGCTCAGACTTAACAAACCCATTCACAATACATCATCTCCAACAACTTGTTTGACTAAGGCGCATACGCATAAACTCTCCCTCTGATAGAAGATGTTTATACAGGTTTTCAAACAAACCCCCCAGGTCATGACCCCTCTCCCAACAGCATCAACACAGCTGCCTGTGGTCCTTTCCACGCGGCGGGGCCCTCCTGGGTACGACAACCTGAGGAATGTGGACCCGAAGTACCAGGCTGCTTCCCACCTGGTTCTGGCTCCTTCCTCCTTGACTTTGGCCAGGGCAGAAGGCCCCGGGGGGGGGGGGCCCCCCAGAGTCTCTGCCTCCTGCGTTAACCCAGGGCCCTGTCTCCTTGCCCACCACCTCTTCTGCCAGGGCAACCCCAGCTCTTGCAAAAATGGAACTTCTTAGCCCCTCACTCAGGCCTCCTTGGGAAAGGAGGTAGTTGCAATATAACAAAAAGACCCCGAACAGAGAGCCTGGCAGACCGGGGCTTTCCTTCCGGCTTTGCCGCTTAGCAGCGTGTGACCCAGGCAGGCTACATGCCCTTCAGGGCTCCATTTCCTCCCTATAATATTGCCTCTCCTGATCCGCAGGCCCCACTCGGACAGGCCCAGCACGAGCAGGCATTTCTAATCACCTCCCCCATCTGGTTCAAGGGCAAGAGGTGAAGCCTGTGGCCTCACTTTCATGGGCTGGGGTGGATTGGTTTGTTGGTTGGTTGGTTTTTGAGTTTGGTGACTGTCTTATTCCAACTGCTCTTGAGAACAAACGCCTCGCTACAGGATAGTGAAGTTCTAGGAAAAAAAAGAAAGGCCTTCCATTACGAAATCATATGCGCTCACAAACTGGTGGGAAAATATAGTAAGTAAACACAGAGACACACAGAAACACCCCCAACATTAAGGCCTCCTGAGAAATCCTCTGGAACCCCAGGGGTCAGCACTGAAAAATCTGGTAACACTGGGCCGTCATCTCGGATGACCACATTCACATGGCTTTGACCACAGGCAGCCCCTTCTGTGTGTGGTACAGGCCTTACAACCGGTCTTGTCCCTGATTCACCTGCTTCGCTCACTTCCTCCACCTGTTGGCCCCTGAAGGCAGTCTAGATTTTGATCCCTGTTGCAGATGAATAAGAAGTAACATGAATTTAGCACTGACTGTGTGCCAGGCTCTAACTGCATTGCATGTATTAACTCATTTTAGCCTCAAAATAACAATGAGGTAGATACTGTTTTTATGCCTTGTCACTCAGGGAATATTCACCGAGAGCCCAAATCTGCCAGGCACCATTCAGGCAATGGCAATGTGGCTGAGAACAAAACAGAATCCCTGCCTTCACGGAGCTTTCGTTCTGGCACAGGCATAGACAGCACATGGGCTCATTAAAAGTGAATCAGGAGGTATACCTGCAAGGGAGGAAAATAAAGCAGGGTTTGGGGCATGCAGACGGCTGGCAGCGGGGTGCGTTGTAAATAGACTAGTCAGTCCAGCTTGCTGAGAAGGTGACATTTGAGGAAAGCTTTGAAGGGGGTGAAGAATTTCAGGAGCACTGTAGGCACAGAGAGGTTAAGAAACACGCCTAGGGTCACACAGCTAGTAAATTGCAAAGCTGGGATTTGAGCCGGGGCTGGCGCCAGAGCCTGGCTTTTAAGGGTTGCGGTATAGGGCCCAATGCAAGATGCCACTCCTGTCCCTGGGACCTTCAGAGTTTGGGGTGGGGGGGGAATACAGGCCGTGAGCCCCATGGCTTCTGGAAAGCTGGAGTCGAAGAGGAGGAGGAGGGACGGACGAGGGGCAGCAGGGAAGGCCAAGGCTTTGGCTCTGAAGTTTCTGACCTCCTGCCCTGTCCTCCCAGAAGGCCGAGATGGATTGGCCACCTGCTGTCAGCTCTTTATTTTAATCTTGGTGGGGGGGGGTCTTGGAGCTTGCACCCCGCCCCCACCCGATCCCGGCCCCTCCTCCCTCCCAGTGCTGGGGTGAACCTGCCACACGGCCTCTCATCTGCCAGCACCTTCTCCTCTGCCTCCAGCAGCACCCGCCTCTGCAGCCAGGAGACCACCCCAGCCGCCCGGCCTCACCCATGGGGAACAGCAAAAGCGGGGCCCTGTCCAAGGAGATCCTGGAGGAGCTGCAGCTGAACACCAAGTTCACAGAGGAGGAGCTGTGTGCCTGGTACAAGTCCTTCCTGAAGGACTGTCCCAGCGGCCGCATCACGCGACAGGAGTTCCAGAGCATCTACACCAAGTTCTTCCCCGAAGCCGACCCCAAGGCCTACGCCCAGCATGTGTTCCGAAGCTTCGACGCCAACAGCGACGGCACCCTGGACTTCAAGGAGTATGTCATCGCCCTGCACATGACCTCCGTGGGCAAGACCAACCAGAAGCTGGAGTGGGCCTTCTCCCTCTACGACGTGGATGGCAACGGAGCCATCAGCAAGAACGAAGTGCTGGAGATCGTCATGGTCGGTCTCCAGTGCCCCGTGGTGGGACCGGGGTCACGGGCTTGGGGGGCGGGGTCCGGGCCCCCGCCACCACTGCCGCGCCCGGGGTGTGGGGGTGCCCTGACGGGGGCCGGGCTGGCAGGTGGAGCGGGGATCCCAGCTCTGGGGCTCAGGGGTGCTGAGTGCACGGGAGGAGGGGTCTCCAGGGTTTCTTCTCTCCCTTCCTTCCTTCCTTCCCTCTTTCCTTCCCTCCTTCTGTCCTTCCTTCCATCTGTCCTTCTGTCCATGTGCCCTTCCATTCATCCTTCCAACCTCCACTAAAATGTATTTCCAAACCTTCCACAGTACATATTCAGCTTCTTCCACAATTAGTTTTAAGTCTGTAACATGTTTCCAATACACAGCAGAAGGAGACCAGCTTTGAGGGACGTGAAATCTGGGTTCCAGTCCCCATGGTCTTTCGTAGCCTGGGACAGGCCACTTCACCCCGGGCTGTTGGGTGGGGGGGCTCTGCTTTCACACCCACCGCCCCCCTCCCCAACCGTGTGCTCTGGACTGAGCGAGGGGTCTTCAGGCTCCTTGCTGGCCAGCGCTTCCGCAAACACACTCACTCTCCTTCCCGCCCGCACTGGCCCAGAATCACATCATTTGCTGTAAAGAATTGAGGTGTCTCGAGAATAGTCCTATTTAATAGGTGAAACTTAAAAGCAATTGCAATTGCCTTTAATTCCATCATCCAGAGGGAGAGACCGTCAGCATATTGGTATATGCCTTCCCAGCCCTTCATCTCTACATAGTTAAAAATAATTTTAGGAACTATGGCATCGCCATGTAGGATTTCTATCAGAACTTTCTTCAGTTACGATTTTGTTATGTTTTCTCTCTCCATGGATCCTCTTCAAAACCATTTTAAATAGTTGCTTAAAATTCCATCTTAATGGAAGTGCCATAAAAAATATATAAGTAGCCCCATATTTTTGGGCAATTCGGATGCTTCTATTTTTTCCGTATGATGTCATTTGAGGTGCTCTTCACTTGGTATCTTTTCCCTAAATCTTTTTAGTGCCCCCTCACTTACCCCACATCCTTGCTTTATTTCCCTAATTCCGTGCCTGGCGAGAGGGGAGAATGTCTCCTTCTTTTATTTCATTTTTTGGGTGCATTTGTAATCTTGTCGTTTGCACGGCCCACCCCCTGATTAGGGAGAGACCATAGACCAAGTAGCCAAGAGGGCGGCCCGCGGGCAGCAGACTCTGCTTGGGCCTCCCGTTCAGGGCGGGAACCTCACTGGCACCCGGGCACCACCCACAGACAGCTCCCCTGGGTTGGCAGGTGGCCTGGGACAGGGACCGCGTCCTCAGAACCACCTAAAGGGGGTCAGGCCCAGCCGTGGCCTGCAAGTTGGTTGCTCCTTGAGGAAGAGGAGGAGGAAGGGGAGGGAGAGGGGGGAGGGGAAAAAGAAGGGAGGGAAAGAGGGAGAGGGGGAGGGGTAGCAGCCAGCCGCTGAGGCTGTGCAAGGTGGTGCCCGGGTTCTGCAGTTCACTCGATCGCGTGGCCGCTGCCCTGGGAGGCCCAAGTTATGGGTTCTGATCCCAGCTCTCGTGGCCTTGGAAAAAATCTCTGGGGCCCGGGGTAAGGCCTGTTCCTTCACTGAGCCCCTGGCGGTCTGTCCTCGGAGTTAGAAGCAGGCTGGGGCAGACAGGCATGGTGGCCGGTGTTGAGCAGTTGGGCCTGCACATGGTCGGCCCGGCTCAGGACAGAGAGAGGCGTTCGGGGAGCCCCCCACCCACACTTGCTGGGCCCCCCTGGGCCCTGAGCGCTGCCAGCCAGGCTCTTGCCTGGAGTGGATTTTGCTTCTCTTGCTACAGTTTGCGGGGGGAGGGACGGGGGAGAGGGGGGACCTGGGAGGAGACTTCCCAAAGCTTTTGACCTTCCCTCCAGGCTAGTTTCACAGGCTTACTGCCCCTGCCTCGGTGTCTCCAAGGTGCCCCCCACTCCCACCCAACACGCCTGCCTGCCCTCCAGGCCTGGGTTTACTGAGCTGGTGGAATCCTAGTAACCCGGAGCTGGCAGAGCCCAGGGAGACCTGCCCAGGTCTCCCCTCCCTGTCACGGGCCCTGCTTTGTCCTACGTCACACATCGAGCTCCTTTACTAGCGCGAGTAGAGGGAGGCGAGAAGGATCCTGGAGCCTAAATCTAAATCTTTCTCTGGATCCCCCCCCCCCTGAGCGGAAGCATAAATGAGAGGCTTCCTGTGTCCTGGGTGGGGTGGGGGTGGGGGCTTTGGAATGTTCTCGTTGACACTCCCCTCTCCCTTCCCCAGCCTCTGGGATGCCCTCCAAGTGGAGGTTCTAGAACCAAACTGCTGGGTGAGAATCTCTGCTTCTCTGCTTCTAGCCGGGAGACTTTTGGCACACTATCTCAGTTTTTTCACCCATAAAATGGGCCAGTGACACCCACCTCGTGAGGCTGTCGTGAAGGTAACATATGAAGATGTTTGGAAATGTGGCACGGGAAGTGTTCAACACTTCTCACCAATTCTTACCATACGGCCAGCCCAGCTGGGCAACCAAGGTACCACGTGGACCCGGAAGAAGCCGTTTGATATCCTAAAACTTGCGGGCGTCAGGCTCAAGGTAGCGGATCCCAGACTGCAACCTGGGGGCTGCTGTGGGCTTATCATCACAACGCTTTTAAGTTCTTCCTCTCATATTTTCATAAAATGAAAGTAATGCGCCTACCTGGGCGGGAAATGCAAAAGTCACAGGAGGGAGAAAATAAACCGACAGCCTCTTCACTTCTCCACCATGTTCCCTGTCCCTCCTGAGGATCTCGGAGGTGGAGACGCCCCGACCCCACTCCCGTGAATTCTGGTTCAACAGGGCAGCCCGGGGCCTGGACATCTGCCTTTCAGTCTCTGCCATAGAGGATGCTTGGCCCCGGGGCGGTGGGGGGGAGGCACACAGGCTTCTGCTTCTCCTTCTGATGAGACCTTCATCTTTATTTGCTGCAGGCTATTTTCAAAATGATCAGTCCCGAGGACGCGAAGAACCTTCCAGAGGATGAAAACACCCCAGAGAAGCGAACCGAGAAGATCTGGGGGTTCTTTGGAAAGAAAGATGATGGTGAATTCCCTCCCCTTCATAGCCTGTGGTTTTACAGTCACGGGTTGTTTCCTGGAGACCCCCAGAGTGATCCTTCCGGGAGCCAGTGCCCCAACAGGACCAGGGACACCTCATCCCAGCATGCACGGCAGGGCTGTCTGGGGGCTTGGAGTTGCAGGCAGGGGACACCCCATCCCAGCATGCACTGCAGGGCTGTCTGAGGGCCTGGGGTTGGGGCCAGGGGACACTCATCCCAGCATGCACTGCAGGGCTGTCTGGGGGCTTGGGGACAGGGGCAGGGGACATCTCATCCCAGTACGCATTGCAGGGCAGTCTGGGGGCCTGGGGTCGGGGGCAGGGGACACCCCATCCCAGCATGCACTGCAGGGC